ACAATGGAGTGGAAAATAAGAAATGAACGCCAGGCAAGTAATGGTGGTAGAGACTCACAATGTAGCCGAGATGTTTCCGGCAGTAATACTGGAGTCACGGGAGGGGAGACAGGGAATTTGGCAGTCATGATTGCTTTCTCCTCAGTAAAGCCCAGGCTACCTTAGGCTGCCGGAGAAGTGCTTGAATTGGCTTTACCTGACCAGTCATTCCTTGCTTCTCAGGCATCCTCCCTCTTGTGCCATCTTGTCACCCTGTAGAGAAGGTCTCCACTCTGCCTGGAGACTCTCACCCACTCTTAAGTGAATCATGGAAATTTGAGTGCCGGGGATTCCCCCACTGTTCAAAAAGTTCCCAGCCCCTGAGTGCTACACCCCCAGCCTCAGGCTACTTCTCCAGTGACTCAAGCCTCAGAATCTCCACCACTTCCTTTGCTGGAGAAGTGGGGTTTGGGTTTCTTTCTTCTTTGTGATTGCTCCCAACTATGGCGGCTTCAATCATCCTTGGAGAAATTGCTTCCCCTGAGCCCCCATAGCATATGACAAGAAAGAGATTTGAACATTTGCTTAGGAATTGCACAGCCAAACTATGTACATTTTTACTTCCCGTTTGTTCCTCAACAGTCCGTTTCTCAGAGTCTCTCCAGAATGAATTCCCCATCAGAAAAAGAAAGTCTCACATGTGGCTCTGATTAATTTCTCCCGAGCACTCTATTAATGTTAGGTTACCTGAAGGAAAAGATATACAGTGCAATTCAGTCTAAGGCTATGTCTCCTTTATTCATTTTTTGGTGAGGAGGAGGTGTGAGGGTGAGGCAAGAACCCAGTAAAGATTTAAGGGGATGAATACAGCTAGAGAGACTGGCAAACCCCCTTCTCTTCTCCCTTCTCCCCATAGTAGTTATTTATAGTTCCCGTCACCAGAACTGTAAATCCTCATGGTCACGTTCACTAACTATAATATACTATCAGCAAAGATCTTGATCCAAATACAGAGTGGCCAATAATTGTGAGCTTGCCTTAGAGACAGGAGCTTAAAGAGCTTGCTGCTATCACATGGGCTTGGAGATGGGAGAAGAAAAGGAGAAACGGTGGTCAGAAATGGAAAAGCAGCAGGGAAAGGGAATGAGCAGTCCTGCTCTTTCGGGCAAAAGAAGAAGAGGAAAGGGCTACCAGAGACCTGTGTGTGGCTTTAATTATCATTCCTTGGACAGCCGCTTCTTCCTAGAGTCAACATTCATGCTTCCTGTAGCTTTCTGTTTTCCTTCCAGCCCCCGATCACCCTGTGCCAAGCACATGGGGTAAGGGAGACTCCTTCTTCACTTACAGTGGCAAGTATAGAAATGTCTCTGGTATCCCACACAGACAGGCCAGTGGATGTTCTACCTTTTCAGAACACCATGGATTAACCAGCTCTGGTGGCCCATGCTGGAGAGCAAAAGCACAACAAAGGACACTGCTGTCAAAGGAGCCCCCAGCAACCAGTGATAGACGTGGGACTGTTGGTGCCCAAATGCTTTGCGGGAAGCAGGTGATACACCGCTGCATTCAGAGTTGCCATCCTGTTATCCTTTGCTTCCTGGTTTAGCTGCTCAGCCATGGAAAGGGATGTGCCACCCACAGCATTTTAGAGTGCTGTGAGGGAGGAGTCTGTTATTGTTTTAGGAAAATATGCTGCTAAGAAAGAAAGCTGTAGCAGCCAATATTTCTAATGATGTAAAGGCCCAGAAATGTGTTTAGTACCTTTGTATAAAGCAAGATACACAGTAGGGTTGGGAATGAGTCTTCCTATGCTGCAAGTAATGGATAGATAGAAGTTTCAAGAGCGTAGGATCATCTGCTATGTGCACCCATCCTGCTCTACCATTTGGTTGATTCCCAGATGTTCACCTGTTAGGTACCACTAATGGTTTTCTCTAAAGACCTCAAGGGTTGCCTACTCCTACATTGAGGTTTTCTCTACTTGGGGTGAGGAGTGGATCTCTATGATAGCAACTGGGATGATCCGGCACAGAAATTTAAGAAGCTCATTCATTCTGTTTCCAAATGTGTTGGGAGAGCACCATTAAAATGTAATGAAAACCCCTCTAAGCTGACCATGGATGATACTGATACAACCTGACAAATTTGGGGCAGTGAAAAGATGAAGTTATATGTATTATGCAATAGTTCCAGCTAAACAGCCTCTACTTTTTGGCTTAACAAAGCAGCCAGAAGTGGAGAGAATTGTGTACTTTGCACAATAAAAATACTTGCTAATCCAAGACAATGTGGTCCTTTCTATGTTGGAAAGACACAACACAATCATAAAAAAAAACCTAAGATGAAAGAGTTGATTCTTGGCTTGATTCCTCCACCCACTCCTCCAGCTGCAAGGGGAATAAAGATCCGGTGAGGCAGTGGCTTAGATTAGCAGTGGCTGGGATCTTGCAGGCTCTGGGATGCAGTGGACTTGCCAAGGTGGAGGTGCTGGGTGCTGGGTCTTCCCATGGAGACTTTGAGTGTGGGTGAAAGGAAGACAGATTGGACTGGAGAGGGTCGCAAGGCAGCCCAGGAGAAAGTGCTGCTGAAACCCAACCACCTGTCCAGGAGCGAACTCACCCTGTTTTCTGCAACTCATTTAAGTGGCCTCACTTGCTGGATCATATTCTGTTCTCACCCCCTTGGCCACTGCTCACCATTAGGAGGAGGATGTTTGTAAATTAGAAGCAAAAGGACTATGAGAATCATTTAAGGAACCCAAGGTGATTAACACAAGCACCCATGATGTAAGCTGTTCTTTCCAGCAATCAGCCTATTCCTTTGCCCAGGAGGGGGAGATTAGCGGGGATCAAGGTATGAATCTTGGCGGTACCAAGAGAATGAGATGAGGAGAGCTTCTCCAACTTTGTCCTGGCCACTCCTGAGGATATGTTCTTAGTGATCTCTCCTCTCATAGGGTAAGAGTAGATAAAATGACAGTTTCGAGGAGGACCAAAGCGATTTTATACGTGCTGCCTCATGAATTAGATAGCAGGTATCTTATTCTTCACACTCAACTTGGGGCAGCCTGGTGATTAAAAAACTGGGTTGGGTTGGCAGCAGCTACTGGACTTCATATATGAATAACATTAATAATAATGAACACAGCCCAGGTAACCCTAGTGTTATTACCTATTATGTGCCAGATTCTGTGCCAGGTGTTCAACATATGCAGTCCAACTTTGTCCTCACACTTCCCAGTACCATTTGCATTGCAGCCTCCACTTTATTATATATGGGGAAACTGAGGCAGATCAAAAGCTGCATGATCCTAGTTTAACCTTTCCAGACACCTCTGCTCACCACACACTGAAGTCAAGTAGAAAACTGTGGAGGTGTGCAAGAACCTGTGTATAGCAACAAAGGAATAGGAATTGCAGAGAAATTATTAATGCAGGCATGAAAGCTGCAAGCTTTCCTGTGAGGCTGCAGGATAAACTCTATCCTTTTTGCCATTCACAGTTAAATTGGACATATTCTTAAAAAATAACCTGGGTTGGAGAGAGGGCCCAGATGGGGAAGGGATTGTCAGGGTCAGTGGGTGGTGGACTCCAGCGTCTGCCTCCTGTTCCTTGCCTGCAGAGGGCAAGGCAGCCTTGTGTACAGTAGATCATGCTGGATTTTGAGTGCTTAATGAGAAAAGTGAGAGGAGATAAAGACGCTTGAAGTGTGGGATGGTGATAGCATCCGTGCCTTCTAACTCATATCTGGTGTGGCGTGAGAGTGATTTAAGCACACACAAAGTGTCAAGTACATTAGGTGGAGGGAGAGAGAAGTGGGGCAGTTGTCACGTGTGCCCTGCCATTTCCTCCTGGGGAGAGGCAGAGCCTCTACTCTGCTCTCTACTCCCTGCCTAGGCAGTAAGTAGCCTCCAGCCCTTTCCTTTTCATGCCCCACTGAACCTGCCCTGCCGTGGGCATGACAGAGCACTCCTGCAGCTGGCCTGAATCAGAATAGCCTCACCGCTGTGCATCCTTTACACTTCCTTTAGATACTGGATTTTATGATCAGTGGGCTCCCTTCTTCTCTGATGAGATCATGGCTGAAAGCTTTTGTTTAACCATGCACTTTCTTAATATGTATTATCCCAATCCTCTCACGCTGTGATTTATGCCTCTTCCTGTTTTCTGTGTTGAATCCTGAAGGACTGGAATTTGTGTAAATGTCATGCACAAGCAGAAGGCGTGTCTGGTGGTACCTCAAGCTTCCTACTTCTAAAACCCCAGAGCTGTCATACTGAGCTGTGGGAAATAGAATTCTGCCCCAGACTGATGCAGTGTGCATGCATGAGGCTTGTGGGACCAAGGGCTCAGGTGTGGCAATACTAGTCTGAAATATTCAATCAAGAGGTGACCAGATCATTAAACTGTAATTAGGTTGTTATAATTATTGAATACCAAAGAGTGCTGTAATAATAGAAGTTGCATCTCTCCCACTTTATTTGTCACCTGGGATCAAATTAGTAGCTGGTTCTGTATCTGGGCACTAAGAAATAGCTGCTATTCTACACAAGCATCACTTCTGCTGAAACTGCTGGGTGGGCAGTTTGGTGGGACTATGGATACTTCCCCAGTGGAAAATGGAAATGTATATGTTGTTGCACAGAGACCCAAAAATTACAAAGGCCTTTTAAAAACCAAAGTTTACTCTTGACCTCTAAAAAACAAAGTAGACTATTAACACTTGTCACAAAATGTTCTTCTTTTGGAAATAGGCAATATCAGAAAAATGAGCCTATATATACTGGAAGGGGAAAAAACCTCGAATTCTCTTCACATTTAGATGTATGTACAGAGATGGACGGCAGTTAGGCATCTTGGAAACTAGCTTAACAAGGTGTTTGCAGGAATTTATAATGATATTGTGATGATTTTTATTGCAATGCTTCCGTTTTAGCCCAGAGCCCACATGCGCGGGAACACTGAATTGTCTTATTGAATCTGACAGTAACCTTTTGTCCCTTTTATGTTTTTTCTTTGCAGAACTCTCTTCACTAACGAGTCACTAGAAAAGCCAAGATGTTGGTGCTACTGGCTGGCATTTTTGTGGTCCACATCGCCACTGTTGTTATGCTCTTTGTTTGCACCATTTCCAATGTGAGTCATGTTGTTCTGTTCATTCATTCATTGGGGAATTACTTTAATCCATACTGCTACAAAGAGAAGTTTAAGCCACAGTGCCTGCCCTGTGTGGACTTCCAGCTTCATTGTGGAAAGAAATAGAAATGCACTGACACATTAAACAGTTACATAAGCAGGGGACAAAAGCAAGTGTCTGCCTAAGGGATCCTGCCAGGGCTGATGGCATTTGGGGGCAGGAGGATAGGGGGAGACTTCCTCAGCCTCAAAGGGAAACTTTCCCCTAGCAGAGGCAGAATGGAGGTCAGTGGGTAAGCTGTCTTTAGGGGACAGATGGGTGACACAAGAAGCTAAGGGCGACTTTCAGGTAGGAGTGTAGCTAAGGTGAGCACTTGGTAAAGTCCTACTTTGTTCAGGGGTCACGAGGACTCCCATGAAGGTGGAGCAGACCTTCCCTTCCTTCTGGGAAACTTCATTAGAAAAGTAGATGGACATGAAAGGATGAGAGCCTTCCTTTACCAAGCCCATGAGCTAGGGTTTGGGGCAGAGAGTAGCACATGAACATGGAATGTTGCAAGATTAACCCAGAGCCACGGAATTAACTTAAACAAAACAACCTCACACTATCGTATACAGGTAGTGGGCTTTTCTCTCTCTCTGAAGCTGGGGCTACGCTGACCCCTAGTGGTTGTTTTAGAGCCCAGTTTGCTTTTATTGTGCTTCAAAACAAGACCACTCCTCAAGACCGCTAACCCAAGGCCAGTAATCATTATAGGGGCAAAGGAAACTTCCAGAGTCTGTTTGGTAAAAGACAAATATATTTTAAAGTTTGGAAAGAAGAGCTTTGCAAACATTAGGGGGTATGATTATAAGCAAGGCTAATCTAAACGTAACTGTGATAAGACAAAGCCTCAGCCCATGCTATGTCCTCCAGATTTGGAAATTCATCCATTCTGTATGCCAACCCCGATGCCTCTCAGAATAGCAAGTCTGGCAAACTTGAGAGTGTTTTGAAGGGTGGATGCCGACGTGTTGCATATCTGTGTGTTATCAGCTCCAGATACAGGGCTGGGCTTGTAGTTTTTTATTAAATGGAGAACAAGTGATTGATTACATGTCCTGAGTGCTGCTTTTCTAGTATGTACATGTTTTGTGCGGATAGGCAAAATTCCTTGTTTATCTTCTATTCCAGAAGTGTAATTATTTTTCTTGGGCTGGGTGGGAAGGGATGCTGGCCCCCTAGTGAGCCTGAGGACATGCGTTGTGGTCCAACCGCCCACATAATAAAGCTTTAGTTACACTATTTTGTTATGAAGTTACTTTGGTTGTTGTGACAGTCAAAGTTTGATCCTTCTGTGTAGATGAAATTGGCCAATTGAATACCAGACTCCATATTACCTTCCCAGTAAGGCTTATGTTTCTTTGTTGTCACATTTTCTTAACTTGTTTTTCCCCTAAACAAAGCAAGTCTTGACAGAATGTATGAAATGTACATACTTACAACCAATTTACTCATTCAGGGATTTTGTTTCTTAGAATCTTACAATTTTAAACCACTATGGTAGAATTACTTCCATTTTTACATTTTTCAAGCCATGAGAAATGTGAAGCCCAAAGAAGCTATGTGACATTTTTCAGGGTTACACAGTCTGTCTTCTATTTTGTGGAATTTTTGTGACCTTAATTAGACCTTATTTCCAACAATAGATAGACTGCTGGCTGTACTTATGGCTACATACAGTGTCTTGATGAAGATATGGCTTTGATGCTTGCTAATTTGTTGTTTTCTCCTTTTCTTTTGAAAGCAGAGGATCAATTTTAAATCAACTTTTTGTTTCTTTCTGGTTTCAGGTGTGGGTAGTTTCTGATGCTTTCAATGCATCTGTAGGTCTTTGGAAAAACTGCACTGGTGATTGCTCTGACCTGTCATATGGACATGAAGGTGTGTATAGAGGCATCAGTCCCCTAATGACAGTGGTGTGGTCAGGGAAACATTAGCCCCATGACCTCACTCTTCTGCTCTGTATTAACAGACGCCCTTAAGAGTGTGCAAGCCTTCATGATCCTTTCCATCATCTTCTCTGTGATCTCCCTCGTGGTCTTCGTGTTCCAGCTCTTCACCATGGAGAAAGGAAACCGGTTCTTCCTCTCGGGGGCCACCATGCTGGTGTGCTGTGAGTATCTGCGGTTGGGGGCAGGACTCTAGCTTGTGTGTGAGGACATTTAAATGGACCTTTTTCTTCTGCTCCTGGCTACTGGAGCAGGTTAGCTCCATGAAACTGCTTTATACTATTTTCTCCTCTGGTCACTGTTCTGTTGGACTAAAACTCTCATCTGCTTCATTGTTTAAAAGCTTATGCTCCTGGTACGTACTGTGTACTTGGGCATACTCTGTAGAAGCCAGGAAGATGGGGATCCTGAAAAAGAGTCCAGCACCATCATGGTGTGCACAGTGACTGCAATGCTTGGCCTTCTCTTATTTTTGCCAGTACACTTGGTTGGATGGGGTGGGGAGTGTTCCTCTACATCTCTAAATAGCCTGCCTACACACGCAGGGGTCCAGGCAGGCAAGCTGGTGGACACGATGTTCTGTGTTTTGTCTTGCACCCGCAGCCACACAAATCAGTACGGATGTGAGAGCCCAGACATCTCAGATTTATCAATGTCATCATGAAGTTTGGCCCAGGGCAAACAAACAGCGTAGCTGTTTTAGGACAAATAACAAGAGTTCACTTTTCCATTGCCAATGAGGGACATGGATCTTTTGAAGATCATGAAAACTTTTTCTTGGTATTAATGTTAAAATGACAGTAATAACATGGCATACCTTTGCTCCCCACAGGGCTGTGTATTTTGATCGGAGCGTCCATCTACACTGCTCGCTACGCCAATAACAATGAAATTTCCTTTGGCACGAGTGGCCACCATGGCTACTGCTTCATCCTGGCCTGGATCTGCTTCTGCTTCAGCTTCATCATTGGCATTCTCTACCTGGTCCTGAGGAAGAAATGAGGCTGAAGCAGTGTTGGGGATATCTGGGGGGGTGGGGAGGAGGAAGCTGTTGAATCTGGGAGGGGAGAGGAAGTCATTGTGTAGCAAAAACCAAGAAAAGGGAGGGGGTCGGGGAGGGAGAAGGAAGAGTGGGAGAGGCCCAAACCCAAACCATTCCTGGGGAGATTCTCTACCACCAAGCCTCTGCCTTGGGAGCAAGTCATTAGCTTGTGCTCTGATGCTTCCTTGTTGCAGCCAGAGAACCTCTGCGTGGCCACCAGACTTGGTCTCCAGCTGCCCTCAGCTACACTCACAGCCTGGGGCCCCTTTAGCTGCCACATCACTGGTTCCACTTCTGAGGGTGAATTCTGGGTCACGCGCTGAGGTCTCGCAGACTTACTGCACCAAGTACAAATAGCAAATAGTGGTACAAGTTCTGGCAAGAGCAGATCCTGTCTCTGGACTGACTATGCTAAGCCCGGAAGCCACCCTGCCTTCGTACCCAAGGTGAAAACATCACATTCCTATCTGCAGTGCCTACAAGAGAGCTTTGTCCCAGAAACCACTATGCCTCTGTGGAACAGATATTTTACTGCATGGAATTCAGTGGCATCTGTGATAGAAGGGAAAGCAGACAGATGATTTATAAGGCTGAGTCCACCAGTGGGTTAGCTAATCCAAGACGGAGAACTTTTCCCCACAGAAGGACTGGGGAGGGGCAGAGCCCAGCCAAACCTCACAGCTGTTCCTCACAGGGACCTCTTGTTGTGGACCCTGTCAGGCTCTAGCTTAAATCCAAGGCAGCTCTTCTGGAGTTTCTCTAGAGCCACTAAAGATCAATTCAGTAGTGAAAGCACCACACAAACTGTAGAACCAAGGGGCACTCTTACCATAGTACTATGTTAGGGTTATGCTTTCTTGGATTCCCCTCAATACAGTCAACATTTCTTATGAGTATAAAACAGAAGAGAGATGGATAGGGCTCCCTGTGACATGATTCTATCAGTCTTCCTCTGGTTTATAACTTCTGAGGAAGTTTTATTTAATTATCCAGTTTGGAGATTAGGGCTTCTAGGCTCAGTGGTCACCTCCACTTTGACACTGGCTAGAGTGGTGACTTCTCAGAGGCCCTGTCCCCTTCTAATGTGAGGGCATGACAATTTAGGAAGCTAACATACTCACAAACCAAAACCAATCAACAGGTCCTTGGGTGAAAGGTGCTATATAATTGTGAAGTATTAGGCATTTCAGTGATAAGAAAAACAGAGTGCTTGTTCCTGGAGGGGGAGATGATCCCATGAAATAAATAAAAATATAGGTGATGGGCAGATGATTTCTTTAAAAAAGTACCAAGAACTGTTGGGGTACCTGGTCAGACTGTATTTGAGCTGTCTGTGACCATAGGAGCCTTTCTTTTAGGATTTAGAAGTATATGCTATTCCTGGTTCTGCAGGCAGCTCTCCACCCCAGAGCAGCTATTTTAAGCCATCTCAGATTCTGCCTATAGGGGTCTTTTGTGGAAGGCATTCTCTTTATTGCCTCCAGAATATCTACTCCAGGACGAATCTGAGATATCTTGCCTACTTTTTTTTCTCTAGCTTCTTCCTCATCCACTTCTTATATACCTTTTTTTCTTGGGGAGTTGTGGCATAATTGCTGATATTTATGCAAAGGGACTATTTACTAAGTATATTTCTTTATGCTTATTCTGGTTAAGGGAATGTTGAAGGCTATATTACCTGGGCTGAGAGTAGAGAGATTGACCAGAAAAGAAACCATGGGGTAATGAACCTTTAAATTATGATTTGATTAGCACATGATTATAGAAGGCTGTATTATGGGCAAAAGCATACCTACATATCAGATATATCCAAAGAGATACTCTCATTTTGTTAAAAAGTTCAATTATGACTGGAGTGAACCATGTATTCCCTTGTCTTTTACTTTTTTTTCTGTGACATTTATGTCTCATGTAATTTGCATTACGTTGGTGGGTTGTTCTAGTACTGTATTTGGCTTCTTCATTAATAGATTATTTCATATGCTATAATTGTAAATATTTTGATACAAATGTTTATAACTCTAGGGATATAAAAACAGATTCTGATTCCCTTCACTGTGCAGATGTTTTCTTTTTAATAAATATGGGGAAATATATATAATAGTGACATTTACCCATCATTAATTTGGCTATCAGTTTGATTTGGGGAACTTGACATTTATTTGGGATATTAAGCTACTTCCTCATAATACCATAAGGATTTCTGCAATAACTCTTTCAGGCAACTGAATGTTATTAACATAGTTTAATTAAATCTCTTAGGTGGAAAAGAAATTTCATAAGCTAATATATTACAAAGAGGTTATGATCTTAAGTCAGAATGGCTTGTGACATTAAGAAATGACACTTACAAAGTTTCCGTGAAATAACCATCTCCTCTAACATGTCTTCAAAATATAAAGTGACTCACAAAAGTATGCATCACACAAATTTTCTGGAGCCTATAACTGTATAAACTGGGGTATCCCTGTCTGGACCTTAGGAGGGAAGGCAGGCTTACTTGGCTCTGTGAGCACTAAGGGGTCAACAGTGGACAAGCAGGGTAGACTCTGTACTTAGCACCAATATGATAACATAGCCTTCATGTGGGATAGGCCATCGTCTAGCCCCCTCTGATCTTGAAAAATCTGCACCAAGAAATGGGCCAAAAACTTATCATGTGTCTTAGTTACTTTCTCATTGCTGGAACAAAATACCTGACATCAAGTCAAAGGAGGAGAGGAGAGGCTTATTTTGGCTCACAGTAAGTAGAGAGGTCAGTCTATAGCTGGTTGGCTCCAAGGCAAGGCTACATGGCAGAGAGGTATGGTAGAGGAGAAACAGTTCATGGCACAGCGGACAAGAAGCAGAGATGAATTAAGGGAGGAGGCCATGCCCACAGTGATCATGCCTACGGTGACCCCCTGTTCTCATCAGGCCTCACCTCCCAACATCATATGCAGCTATAAACCCACCAGTAGGCTAACCCAGTTTCACACTCATGATCCAGTCACCTCCTAAAAAACCTTACCTATGAGTGCATGAGGCTTTGTGGGGACATCTGGATATAAGACATAACACAATGGAACCAAAAAATAAGATTCAACATATTTTCAATCAATTGATCAAATTGCATTGATTCTTGGCATCTTCTCAGAGGTCCAAAGTGATTTCCTAAACTATTTCTAGGGACTCTATTATAAGAGGTCCACCTTCCTCCCTTAGCTCTCACAGTACCCATCAGGAAGCATACCTCCAGCCCTTCCCCAGAGAGGCATTTAATTAGGTCTCCAAGAACCTCCCAGCCCTACCTGAGACTTCGTCTCTGGCCCTTTCCCTTTTAAAAAACTGGATGGTGAATGGAGGTGTATTAAGATTCTCCAGGGAAACAGAACCAATAGAATGTGGGTACGTATGGAAAAAGATTTATTCTAAAGAATTAAGTCACATGGTTATGAAGGCAGACAAGTCCCAAATCTGCAGGATGGGCCAACAGGAAAGGGACTTAGGCTTTCAATCCTGAGCTGTCCACTGCAGCATACCCTCTTGCCTAGGAAGTCAATCTTTATTCTATTCAAGTTTTTAACTGATTGGATGAGGCCCACACATGGTTTAGAAGGAAATGTTACTTTATTCAAGGTCCACTGATTTAAATGTTGACCTCATACAGAAATGCTGTCACAGAAATATTCAGAACAATGCTTGGCTACTTATCTGGGTACTGTGGCCCAGCCATGTTGACACATGAAATTAACCATCATAGTAGGAACATTTTTTGAAGGGTCAATCAGGTACTGGCTTACTACTTTGGAAATTTTGGTGTGAATTTTGAGAGGAGTGACTCATTGTAAAGATTTTTTTTCTAGTCTAGAGGAAAATCCACTTCCTGGAGCACACAGCAGGTAGGGAAGTGGAGCTCAAGAGAAGGAGATTTCCCACCTGGTCTTATTTTGCAGGAGCCATGTGGGCCAACTCCTGAGGCAGAGGGTGACCGCTGAGACAGATATCAATGAACTGCTGGGTGCTATGTCCTGCTCCTACTGCTGGAGGCATAGAAGGTGAACCAGACAAGTTTCCTATCTCCCTTCAGCTTGAAGTCTACTTTGAGACTAAGTCTCATACCTTCCTAGAGAGAACAGAGGGGGGTTTTGTGGGGACATAGAGAAGTTGGGTCATCACTACCTGGGGCAGGATAGAAGGATTTTCAGGTCCTCAGCCCTCCCTCATAACCCTATCCCACCCTTTGAGTGATTAGCTGCAATCCATATAATTGTGTGGATTGGACCTCGCTCTGTCTCTTGCTTGCCAACATGTCTTTGCTCCAAATCCCACTCCTTTGTTCCACGTCTTCATTCCAAATGGACCTGTTTCAGGTCCATCCAAATAACTGCAGCTGAGAAACATTCCAACAACCTCCCTACCTACATCTACAGCCTCTCTAACCCAGGCTGTATGCTGTTGTTAGGGTGCTAATAATGGATGCTTCTATCACCCCAGGACCTAGAGTACTGGATGGGTAGCTCACGGTGTCAATGTGGACCTTCATGTGGTAGGTTCAGACTCAATCTTCGGGTGAAACGTTGATCTGTGAAAGTCTCCAAAGCGAGCCCTGACTCAAGAATGACTATCTACATATGGCAAATTTTGGACTTTATTATATTAAAAGAGAAACTGAACAAAAGAGGTTGATGAGGAAGGGCAGATTTTTGAGCTCTTCCTGGTTTAAGAGTAGATTGATTGCAGAAATAATTTTTCTAAATCGTTTGTTTGGAACTTGGATTGTATCGTTCCACAGGGAAAATTTAGAAATAGTGTTCGTATAACCTAGGACAAAAGGGCTTTGGGACTCTAGCTTGGAAACTTAATAATCACTAAACTTAATTTCAATGGGATAGGAGTTAAATTCTGGGACCGTCTCTTGCTCCTCAAAACTTTCAAAGAAAGAGGAGGCAATCTTCTATAGGGTGGCGTGGAATTGCACACAGGCCCCTGCTCAGAAGACCTGGCTTGCTAAGGTCAAAGGGTGGCTTTTCTCTGCCCTGTTCACACTTGTAATCAGATTTGGGAGAACATGTTCTTTAGCCTGACTCTGTCTGCATGGATATACATGTAACTTAGCAAACTGAGTGATAAACTGAGACTGTTTGTCTTACTCTCTTAACCTCATGGTTCCAAATCAATCTTAATTCTCCTGCTTGTCTTAGTATATCAGTGGCTTAATTCAGCTTACTATGGAATTCTGAATGATTTCAGCTCTTTCATATTATAATTTACAAGCTTTGGGGCCTTTTGAAGTCTTAGTATTTTCAATTTGATTTCATAACTGTTCCTCCGTCTTATAAAGTGCTAACATAGAGCAAATACGTACTTATAATTTTTAAGATGAATCAAAATTAAACCTGTTTTGAGCATTTTGGTACAGTTTTGTGAATGCTTTTCAGGTAAGCAGGCCTTGTACATTCAAGTTTGAGAATTATAGTGCTGGTTTTGTGAGTGAAATAGATTACATTAATTAATCTGACACATAGTCATCTTGTTTTTAAAAATGTTAAAACCATTCTGGCAGAAACATAAAATCAGGTCTCTTTCCATAGACCAAATTATGGAATGCACTTCTAAGTGGCCTACCAGAACCCATTCTACTAATTTATTCCCTTAAATAATTCAAATTCTGTACTTCTTGTTGTAGATAATATTTGTCAGAGCCTCTGGAGAGAGAAATAAAAAGTAAATGCAGAGAATTATTAGTTATGGTTTACTTGGTTCAAGTTCATTTTAGTCATCCATTCCCTGACCTTGGCCTAGACCTCCCAATCCCCAGAACTGCTCTTCCTAACTCAGGATGATAAATGTTACCCCTTCTTTCTGTAACTGACACATGTGACCACCAGTGTTTGAATTCCATGCTGTCCTAGTGCCTTAGGGATGTTCCGTAGGTAAATTTCCCTTCCCTCTGAATCTCCAACCACTTTCCCTGTAGAAACATTCTCTTGTGGGTAAACTACACCTAAATTTAGCAGATCTAAAGCAAAAGAAAACAAAAAACCACTCCCTTCTCTAATACTTCATCTCTTGCCATTTCTTCCTGAATGTATGGTTTACTAGCTCTGCCTCCACCAGGCCTTGCCTAACATTTGTGGGGCCCAGGGTAAGAGCACAAGCAGAGGCCTGCACACCATGTGTAAATACATTATGAGGATCAGGAGCCAATTAAAAATTCATAGGGTCCTTGGAATTCTGGGGGAGAACATGGTTTTGCAGGGGAAAGTTGGCTTGGGCTTCTGGCTGACAGCCTGGCTTCCCAATGTTTTGCTTCTCTGCTCTACCAACGTCATAAGTGACTCAGTGTATATATGGGGTGTTCCAGTGCACACCTCCAAGGCTAGTCTTTTCCTCTCCCCATCCCGCAAAGGGCTATTTCCTGGCCGTCCCTTGGGCTAGGAGCACACACATTGTAATGGCATGGCTTTGCCTTTGTGTGACTCGCCCACGGAAGAGGGTTAGAAGTGAGCACAGCAAGCAATGTTTGGGCAAGGGACTTTGGACCTCCGAATAATTAGAATCTAGTCTAGAAGGAGTGGCAGGTTGTAGGTGAGACTGTTCCTTTAATCCCAAGCACCAGGACTTCTTGTTCATGGTGGGGATGTGGCCGGGGAGGGTTGGAGCAGAGCCATGAAAGTGCAGGTAGGAGAAAGTTGCTCCTGCCTGGCCTGAGACTTGGGGTCCCTCTTTTCCTCCTCACTTTCTCTCCGGTCTTACCCAGCCGCCTGTGTCTTCCTTCAGCCCTCCAAAGTGATGACTCTCCTAAGGGTTTGTCAATAGTGACTGTCAAGTTCAATGAACACTTTTGGCCTGTACTTTCTTGTTCTTTTTTTTTTTTTTCCTTTATTTTCTTCCCCTTCTGGCTCATCTTATCTTTGTCTCCTCTATAGGTGACTAACTTGAAGTTCATATACTAATGATGTCTGTCTTACGACGGATCCCCAATCTGCATGTTGACTCAGATCAAATTTCTGAGTCCAGGCTCATTAGAACAATGAATTGAACTGAAGTTCTTCATGCACTTCTCCCCTGTTTGGTCTCCCCAGTCTCAGGAAGTAGCCATCTATGATTTAGA